CATTGCCGTTCGCAGTTTTGTCCAATTTGGGATAAAAAACGTGAGCACTTGGATGGCATGTCACTGCCTCATAATGTGTTCTTTTATTGAATTATTGCATAGCTTAAATATGTAGGATCCATTTAGGTAAAGAATGATGCATTCAGCCGAACGTACAAAAGAATCTATTATTACTTATACATCTTCAGTGGATAATACGACATCATGTGCTTTAACATTTTTCATGTTACATTCTATTATTAGTTTGGAATAACGTTGTTCGGCGTCTAGGAAAATCTCTTTCAATATCTTCATCTTGTATGACAATTTTTTTATACAATGATACGAATAAAATGAGAATTTAATAAAATGAACTTTAACTAAAAATTTCTGATACTGTTCATTTTAACGAAAAATCATATCTTTACACTAAAAATAAGTTGAGGAAAATAGTTTGTAAATTCAGAAGGAGCAGTGGAACAATTTGTTGGACTGATTCAGCAATATAAATTAGAAAGTAGACGAAGGACTAGCGTCCATGAATTGACGAGGACCCGCGTTGATGGCTCGCTTGCTTGCCCCAAACAATACTCAAAATGAAATAACTTTCAACTTTGTCAGACTGAACTCCAATTCCTTCTTTGAGCAAAAATAAAAAATAAAAAAAATTCGAATTATTTTTCAAATAGTATGATATACATCTTAGATTTTTAGCCAATGTTGCCCATGTCCAAATTTTTTGCATTTTGTTTTTATTTTTTAGAGGTGTGATATCCACACACCATATTTTACTTCTCACATATTTTTTTAATTTTTGACCGTCGGATCGGATGAATTGAAAAAAATCAACAGACAAAAATTAATAAGGGATGTGTGAGAAGTAAAATAGGATGTATGAATAGCACATCCCATTTTCTATTATTTGTGTGGGTGGAATTGAATCGTTGGTCAAGGGACGTGTGTCACTCTCACCTGCATAAAAAATATTATGAAATTGTTTACTCACCCAAACAGCTTAATTAACTCCTTAAGCTAACACCAACTTAAACACAGGATCATCATTTTATATAATTCTTCTAGAAAGTCCATATACAGAATACAGTACAAGGAGTGATGATTAAACTACAATTCAACATGTGCCAATTAATCCTGGCCTTCATCTCTCTATTTTTTATTTGTGTACCTCAAAACTTGGGACTGTTTCTGTTTAGGTTAATATTTGAATATTGGGTTGCAAGTGTAAGAAAGCCAAGATATGCCAATTAGAAGAAGATTTGCCCGAAACCCAACACCAGATCCAGGGACAAATTGGCACCTTTCCATTAATGCATAGACCATGTGCCTATGATTTAAATGATAAGTGATAGAGACTAACTCACAATCAGCCAAAAAGCAATTTTCAGTGGCAATACAAGTAAAAAGTTGATGAATCATTACCCTTCAGATGCTTTCGGGTAAGAGCAAAGTCACTGCAATTGGGCTAATTTGCTTATAAAAGGAGGAAGAGGCCCCAGAGACAAGGTCACTCAACCAATCAAACAAACAAACATACAAACTCTGCTCTCAAGCCAGATTTGTATCCAAAAGCTGAAATCAACCCAGATTCAGTCCTTTTTAGCACAAGCTATCTTTTTCTCTAGTTTAAAAGCTCTGCTATCTCCCTCAGTGGCGTAGTATCGATTCCCTTGTGTAAACTTGTTTACCATCCACCTCTTTCTAGCATACAAACCCCTGTAATCACAAAGAGAAGTGCCTGCAAAAAGTTCAACCTTGACAAACAAGGTGAAATCTTGCCCGAAACTCTTTGTTTGTTCTCTAAATTTGTAGATCTATTACGTAATGCATTCTTCAATATGTATTCAAGTCATATTCACCTATTTTCCTACTTTAAGAGTCTCATTTGCATATGGATTTGGTTAGTTTAATGGATATGTTATTATTAAAATCAATCAAGAACCAAGCAAATGGCTAAATGGCTTAAAGGGAACCTAGACTCTCTTCATTCGAACATACAAGACTATGAACTAAAAGTCCTTGTTCACAAGGCAAGAAAAATAACTTAATGTGGACTTAACTCATCCATGCCAATCCTTTGATAACAAGAAGTTCGAGTAACTTGGGACGTAAGTAATCGACTTAAAACACACTTGTTCTACATCTGCTATACAGAGATAGCAGTGGCACGCCTAGCACTCAATTAGTTTTGATTGCGAGCCTCAAGGCCTACACCTAAGGCCTTACAAAGGCACATTTCATAACTAACTTTGTCCTCTTCTTGTAGCATATCGAAAAGTAAGAACCCGACTACACATTCAAAGTGCCAATCCCTTGGGAGTTGTGCTAAGGTGCCAAGGACCATTCCCCACGGAAATCTTTGCTCGAACAGTTTCCTCATAGAAAGAAAAAAAATGGAAACGTAGGACTGTTCACAAGATAGGACAGCTGGACGAGAAATTTTGTGTTATCACTAGAACACAGATGGTACACACGTGTTTTTATATAAGTGGTGGAAAAAAATTATTTTTTAAGTTATTAACTTTTTAACACACATATCTCATCATTTGTATATTGACACGTAGTGTGCCACTCTGTGTACCGATCACACCGAAAAATCTTTCCAGCTTGACCACCAACATCGATTGATCATGGCTGGTGTTATTCATAAATTTCTTTTTATTTATCGAAATTTTTTATTAATTTATGTTTTTATTTTCTTGAATTCATTCGATCCGAGAATTGAAAATTGAGAAGGATGTGTGAGAGGTAAAATATAATGTGTGAACAACACCACCCATTCACCATGTGCTAATTAAAAAAATTAACAAGATTGGCAATGTGTCATGTCTCTTCTCTTAACCAATAATGTATGCGCACAATGACTTTTTTGAAATGTTATTAGCATCTCCCTACAAGAAAAAGAAAAAAAAAAGAAAAAAAAAAGAAGAAAATAGGACCATTGGTATTTAAACTTTGGTGTAATCAAAACTTTGAATCTATGAGTTAAAAATTTCTGACTACAGATCTTTAAACTCCTTGACAAGGCATGGAGAAATGATTTTCTTACAAAACATTTTTTAAAATTTCATCTAAAATAAAAGGTTTTAAATGGAAACAAAGTTTAGAAGTTCTGACGAATTTGCTTTTGTGACCATTGCTCTCATTGTGACAAAATTAAAAACTGCTTAATAATTGTTTCATTTTCAATTAAAAAATTTAAAATAAAAACGAAATCCTTATGAAACGATTTGTTAATAGTGCCGGAATTTTAATATCGGAATTTCATAGATTCTTGTCACTCTCAGTCATGAGTCATGTGACTCGTCCCGATCTATGTTGTTTTCTTTTTCTTTCATGATTTGATTGATCAGGGGGGTTGGACTTTTCCTCTATTTTAATCAAGTAGACCACCCACATGACTAATTCCATTATATTCTAACGTTATATTTATGTTATGTTGTCTCTACCTCTCAATTTTCCAATTTTTTTCTCAAAATATAATACTAAATAAGGATGCACGCAAGATAGTCATGGCCCGCCATTGCCAAGCAACTGTTATGCCCGGTTCTCTGAGTGGACCGGTCCATCATAATCGTTAGGCCTTATTGGGCCTATGAGCTACACTCTCAAGTCTCTGTTGTGGTGGCTACTGGCTACTCCATATTCAATTATTCTTGGTGAGCTTGTACATTTCCCATTAAATTAACCAACCTACAACCAGTCCATCATAAATAAAACCCTTCCACTAGGTGGACCCAACGCTTGCAATCTCTTTCACACAAACCCAACCTGTATTTTGGTTCATCCGGCATCACGTTGGTTCCACTCGCAACAACGTAGCAACTGCATATTAGCCAATTAGGTGATCACGCAAAAATAATATGACTTTAGTTGGCTAATTTCTAAGAGGTATACGATATGTTTCTCTAATAGTTAGTCTTTAGTTTCGGTTGAGTCCTATGTTTGGGTCTCAGAATGAGTATCGTTTCGGATTCTCTTTGTGGAGATTTTGAAGATTTTCAAATCGTGTTCGTTCATCGTACATCGTATGGTCAGAAATCATTTTAAATACTTTTATTTTAAATTAAATATAAATTGTACTTTACGAAAAATGACCGTACAATATACAATGAACGGACACGATTTAAAGATCTTCTTGAAAATGAAGAATACTTGGTTTGCATGACAATTCATTATATTTTGTGGACATCGTATGTTATCACATCATTACATATCTTTTAAGATTGTGAGATTAACGTAATTGCCTAGTCTTAGAAAATAAAACCATATTGCTTTTGGTTTTGGGTTAAGTTATTTACTTTTTTGCCATTTTATTTGAGCGGTAGGTTTCATATCAAATCAATTTATTTTAATTTATTGCGTAATTTGCCACTAACTCAACCATGACTAATTTAATTTATCTTACCTAGTCTTAGAAAACGAAATCATATTTGCTTTTGGGTTAAGTTATTTGACATTTTTTGCATTTTATTTGAGCTGTAAGTTTCATATCAAATCAATTTATTTTATTTTATTACGTAATTTGCCCTTTGGCTAGAGAGTAGTGAAACACTTTAGAGCTCGTTTGGATGTGTTTTTGAAATGACTGAAAGCGCTTTTGATGAAAATGTTTTTTGAACTAATTATTAGTAAAAATGTAAGTCAATTCTGAAAAAGCACTTAAAGTGCTTTCTGAAAGAAGCACGTAAGCCCATATGGATCGCTTTATTGTTATTAATGATGTGACTTAGTTTGGTCTGAATGTCTTCCACCCCTCCCTCCGTCCACCCAAAAAAATGTCTTCCACCGCTCCCTCCGTTCACCCAAAAAAAGTAAGTACAGCGTGCTAGAAGAACTAAGATACAAAAGAGAAGTGCAAGTGTTTTTACGTGTCTCACTTGTTGAGTTTTGTAAAAGTCATTGACCCTCCACTAAAATCCAAAATCCGGATCCCTTTTTTCTCAGAATTTGCCTTTAAATTTGGACAAAGGACCCATTTATAAAGACATTTCCCTTGTCCGTCCTAGTTAGGTTGGACTCACTTCTTACCAATCTCTAAAACCCTCCGATCACAATTCACCACTGGATTTTCTCCACCTTGCTCTTTGCCAACCGCCCCTCGCAATCCCATTTTCTCCGGCTTTTTCCACATTTGATAAAAGACTCTCTTGCATTTTCTGCTGTATTTACGCTCCCCCTTTTCTGTTTCCGTGTTCTGCATCCGTTGGTGAAAGTCAAACAACCCACCATCGAATCGAAATGGCGTCAGAGAAGAGCTCCTCCGTGCTCCAAGTCACTTCTTCAGGCGGTCCACTGCGGATGATGACTCCGTTGACCGCTCAAGTTGCTCTCAGAATCACAGCCATTGTCTTCACACTCATCGCCATCTCCGTTACAGTCACCAACGGCCAATCCGTTGCCGTGTTCGGATTCAAGTTCGAAGCCCACTACTCCTACTCAACTGCCTTCAGGTAAACGCAGATCCAAAAAACAAATCAAAGATCCAATTTTTTACAACAGATATGATCATTTTTATTTATTTATTAACTTCCTTTTGGGTGTCTCTGTTGTCACAGGTTCTTGGTTGGTGCCAATGTTGTGGTGTGTACCTTCTCAGTGCTCTCATTGATCTTCGTATCCTTCTTAAGCCGTCCAGCATCTCAACACCTCAAAAACTACTTCTTTCTCTTCTTGCACGACACGGTTAGCAAATTGTCGTCCCTCGACTTTTTCTGCAGTTCCAATAACAGTTCCCGTTATAAATTGTAACGTTAATGAATTGTAATTTGTGTCGCAGGCGATGATGGTGCTAATGATATCCGGATGCGCAGCGGCGACCGCAATCGGGTACGTGGGGAAGTATGGAGAGAAGAAAATGACTTGGCAGCCAACGTGCGGTTACGTGAATGAGTTCTGCAACAAAATGACCATCTCTCTTGTGTTTTCTTACCTGGCTTTCTCTGCCTACTTGCTTCTCACTCTCATGGCTGCTCACAATCTCATGCCTCGCCCTACTGAATGAACTCGCCAATACACAATTTACAAGAGATGTATCCCATCCATCATCCGAAAACGACATCGAAAATCTCACAGTTTATCAATTTGCTATGTCTTGTTAATTAGCATTTGGGTCCTTTGCAAACTTGTGCTGCATGTACATATGATTTCTTAATGGTTTAGTTTACATATTACCCCTGTAGAAATTATGTTACTTAATCGTATTTATTTGTACTTACTGTCTCCTTGATGGTTGAGGAACTGGTGGCTTCTTTGGATTAGGAAATGTTGCACAAACTATTTGCCTATTTGTAGCTTTCTTGCCTTTCTTCTCCTAACAACGAGAAAAACTTACTTGCAACCGGAACGCGACAATAAGAATGCCCCATAATAACGTCCAGTTGTAGGTAAGTTCGTCCTGTTTCTTTTCAAGTTTGAAGGGAGGACATTTATTAGGGTCGTTGACAACTTAAGAAAATAAGAGGGGGCAGTATTTAATTCCATAGCCACCTAGATTGCAATTAGGTAATTTGTCATCAATTAGCTGTGTAACAAAAAAGGACATGCCATTTAATTCAACAAGATTGTCACTAATTGATGACCCCTTTGTATTTGCTCGCCTGACTTGCGTGGACCATCATATATCAGTGATGAATGATGATCGTATATAAAACATATACATTGTGATATGTATTAAGCTTGTTTAAGTCACTAATAACATGATTAGTACTGGACTTAAAGTATCACTCTGGAGTCTATGTCTCGTCGTTGCTGTCTTTTGGGTGCGCTTTCAAGGTCTGGCCTTCAGCTTCCCACTTTTCGGAATCCCAGGCCGGGTCAATCTCGGGTAGCTGATAGTCATCAGGTCTTAATGACAGTTGAAATTCTGGCAGGTCAGGCAATGTTTGTAGAACCCTGCATCCGTAGTTAAAAGGTTAATTAGATGTTTTGGGGACTGAGATAATAGAGGAAGATACAGAAAATAATGGCTCCTTACTTTTCTTGTTCTAAAAGGTAGCCATACATCTGAGATTTCCTTGTTGCAACTTCAGGAATTTTCTGATGCAAATGCCTCATAGCTCCCCAGAGTGGAGGAGCCCTGAATTTAGAAACAAAGAAAATAAATAAATCAAGAATATCAAGGCAATTAAAGCTTATGAAAAAGGAACAAGAATAGTCAATAATATCCACCTGGTAACTGGAGCTGCAAGGCAAAAGGTTAAGCAAGCCTTCTTGCTCTCCGATAGAAGTTCTTCCGCCGCAAGAAAACAACATACAGCACTAACGTGGCAGGACGGTTCATTGCCCTTGTCAAGGATCAGACCGTGATAGTAATACGATGCAGCCTGCACAGACATTTACATATGATATACATAGATATTGATTGTATATATGCAGAAAGGGGAACAATTTCGTATCAATATCGATTTAAAACCTTTGACTCAAGAAATTTCCAATTGATGAACCAGATATGCTTCTTCTCACACCCGTTATTCATGTCACATCCTGACAAGCAGTTATAGGCCTGATCTCGAAAAACAGAACAAACACAGTTTATAGAAACTTAGCATATAATTGCAGACGTCTAAGTAAATCCGAAAGAAGCATAAGCTGCAGGTTTGAATTGAACTAATGAATGATTACAGCATAAATACAAACCTGACTAAAATAGGTCAACTGTTCACATGCCAGTCTCCTTTTAACTGATAGTGCGGCCTTCTGATATTCAACAGCTAAGCCAAGCTGGATTTCTGTTCCCTGCATTTTTAATCAAGATCAGTAAATCTGTAAACTTACCTCTCAGTCTTAATAACAGCAATTACTGTCTTAGTTAACTTAAGACTAATCTAATTCATGTTTCTCCACTCCAAATCAATATCTATACTCAATGGATGTCAATGTCAACATAAGAAAATCGATTCCACTTATCAAGGAAGTACCTGGCCTAGAGTTTGATAAGAAATGGCCTCCAATACACCATCCTGCAAAATTTTGGGCAAATTTTTCCTGTGTTCGTGACATAAATATGTTTTAGTTTTAAGTAATTGGCACCAACTGTCTAAATCCCAAATCTAATGTTATGTTACTTTCAACTCAACATACTTGATTTCAGGTGGTATGCGAACCAGGACATCCCGGACACAGAATTCCAAGTAGTCAGATGCCTTGAGCAATAAGTCGACAGCATCTCTCTTGGAATCTGGAAGAAAAGAACATACTTAAGGTTAGCCATCAGGTGAACATGTATAATAAAAGCATATGGACAAGAATACAAACCTGAAGAAACTGTCCTTATAGTCGAACCAGAATGGTTGAATGGGATCATCAAGGTGTCAGCCTCCGACAATGTAAGCATAGCCATCAGGTCCACAACAGATAGTACTTCAAACCAGGAGTTTGCCACACATGCTTCCTGCAACTCGTCACATTTGATCAAACTCGATTGCATGACAAATTATGACAAATACTCCAGGTTATCCCATATATACAAATTAATGACAAATACTCCAGGTTATCCCAGAGGTTTAATATAAAAAGAGAGTAGGGCATACCGGTGTCCTCTGCAACTAAGACAATCTGATTGCGAAGCGATGACTGTCTGTCAACAAGATCTTTTGGAATGAGGCCTCTAAGACGCTTTTGAACATCAGACTGAGCCGGGATTCGCGTAGACGGAACGAAGACCGCGACTTCAGGGACAGTCAACTTCTTCTTTCCTCCAATAGCATAAACACAAGAGCCGCACCCCATTTTGTTTTATGAGCGTACATATTGGTTTCAAACATAAGAATAAGAACATCCTACACAACAAACCAGCCGTCCACTTATGGAATTTCAATTTTTTCACAAAAACTGTCAAAAGGATTTTGGAAAATTTTCCAAAATTTATTAATTATAAGCCAATATTCGAGTCATTCTCGTCTTCCCAAATGTTTCCAAAAAGTGATATTAGGACATTCTAAAGATTTTAGACACCTACAAATCTTTTTGGGGGCCACGCTATTTGACACATCCTGACCAAAATCAAGGCGTGCTGACTATCACGTCTTGATTTCGGTCGGGGTGTGCCACTATTAGTTTAGTTTACCTTTTCAATTATCAACTTAAAAAATCAATAAAAATAATTTCGAGACTTAATAAATGGTAGGATCACATCCAAAGGTCTTGCAGCATCAAAATTTGAGACTTCAAAAATAAAAAAGATTCATTATAAGTCAAAATTCGAGTCATTCTCAGACACCACGTATTTCTTAATATTAGTTTAGGACTTTACGAAGATTTTCGACACATTAAAAAGTATTTTTGAGGGCCCCACTATTAGGTTATATTATTATTTTTTATTTTCCAACTTTGAAAACCAATATAAAAAATAGTTCATGACCTAATAAATGGTAGGATCACAAGGTCTTGCAACATTTTCCTTAGCTCCCATGCAAAATATTTCCTAAAACTAAAAATTTCAAAATTTTCACAAAAACTATGAGTTATAATCCACGTTTTCAAAGCTATTTTGATCCTAGCCACGCCAATTTGTGAGACATGCAAGATTGCATATAGTCGGTCATAAGTAAGAACTTTTCGTTTTACAAGTATACTATCTCATTCTCGTCAAACTAATTTTGTTCTTTCATATTCAACAATGCGCATATTTGAAAGAAAACAATTTAGTTGGATTGAATAAGGGTTTTTTTTAGAGTCAAACCCTCACATATCTCGAACTAAAAGAAAATTAAAGACCACAAATAAATAGAAGTATGAGGAGAAAAAATTAGTGTTGGAAATCATTTTTTTAAAACCATAAGTTGATGTGATTGAGCTAGAGTTAACGGAACTGGGTCCTTTCTGGAGGTAGATTGTCTGCCTTCCAAATTTGGGTGCTCTTTTCATTTCCTTCTATTTTGTGCGGTCATAGTTAAGTCACGTCAATATTTTATATTGATTTTTTTTTTATAGAGATAATAAGACAAAAAACAATTGGAATATAAAATGTTGACGTGGCTTAACCGTAACCGCACAAATAGGAGGGGATGGGAAGGGCACCTAAACAGGAGGGCAGACAATTTGCCTCCATCCTCTCCTGAGCTCAAGATGGGGATCCTTGTAAGTAGCCCATCCGGACCATTCAAACTTGATCCAACAACTGCAATTATTATAACTTTTAGAGTGGCCCCCTATTCGGAGCCGTTTGATCAAAATTCAACAGCCCGGATGGACTGCTCAGGAGGATCCCCATCCTGAGCTCATGAAAGGATCCAGTTCCAGAGTTAACAGGGTAGGATCTTATCCGGATCCTCTTTGTGAGGATTCTGGATATTACTTCATCGTGTCCGTTCATCTGTCATCCTACGGCTAGAAATTATTTTGATTTTTTTATTTAAAATTAAACACAAACAGTACCTGATGAAAACTGACCACACAATGAAGAGATCCTCGAATCCTCACAAATAGGATTCGGAGAGGATCCTCATTCAGAGTCAACAATGAAAAAAGAAAGGGTAGAGTAGAGATGTGGTTATGATTTTCGTGGGGAGGCATTTGACCTTGCAAGATTAGGTGGTTTATGTAGGGCATCTCCATTCTCAAATTCTCAATTAATGGGTTGACACTTGACCAATGCCACTGGTAAAGTCCGGAATCATGTTCCCCTAGAGATCACGGCTGAGTGAAGGTGACTTGAGGGATCGATAGACGAAAAAGGAATAGAAAGGGATATCTATTATCTAGAGAGGAGTAGTAGTACTAGTAGTAGTGTTCCATATTACTTGTAGGTAAAGGAGAAGGATTTCATGTTAGATTTTGTTCTTGTTTCCTTTATATGTGAGGTCATAATCTTCTCTTCTATCTTTATTCAAATTTCAACGTATGTTTAAAGGTGGTCATGAAAAATACCGAGGCCTGAATGATGAGAGCAATTAATCTATTTCCGCATTAGATTCTATACTAATTTAAAAATAATAAAATCAGCTAGTAACCAACACTCTAACAACTCAAGGAATGCGTAAGCGCACCAACATCGGTACCATCCCAAAAAAAAAACTAGTTATTGATGAGGGCCTTTAAAATCGCTTATAATTAAAAGCTCATATCAACCTAGTAATCTGCCGATGTGTGAGTCTCAACTCACGCTAGCACAACTTGGTGTATTGCAATCAAATTACAATTAGGTATACAAAATATACAGTCAAATAGTTCACTAAATAAAGAGAGGCAAGTGTTTCCAGTTGCAGAGCAAATCTTGGCTCTGGATGCATCCATGGTCCAGTCCACTGAGGCATATAAGTCCTTCAAAGCAGCTAAAAGGGTCGGTTATAAATAACATATTGAGCATATTTTTTGACCAATTTTAACGTGCAAGTTGCATACAATGCATATATGGTCATTTAATTATAAGTCTCTTGCTTAATTTTGTGGAAATTTTGTCTGAACAACTATTTCATTCAGCTAATGAACAAGGAAAGTTGGATATGAATATAAAAATACATAGAAATAATATTGGAGCCTGCAGGAGGAGGAGGAGGTCCCATATTCCCATTCATTCAACTAGTTGAGGAGGATAGAATATATTCCAATATATATGGTGGTATGGGCAGCCAAAGCTATATCCCATATGAAATGAAATGAGAAAATTAACTAATTAATTAATATATTGTAAAATAATAAAGGAACCTAGAAATTGATAATGATATACTGGTGATGATCTAATTTTTGACAATGATCAGAATCTTATCTCTCTATATGCATGGTTAATATTATTCGTCTCAATCGACAGCGATGAGTACTCAGTAGTGCTGCATGGCAATATGGCAATGGCATGCATACAAGCTAGCTTATAAATAGGGAGTCCAAGGCGTTGGATTAGAGCATGCATGGGATAACTGGATTAGATAGAGAGATATCACATCAAAAGAGGAAAGGAAATATTGAAGGGAGTGTATAACATGAAGAGAAGAGCGTTGTTTGGTAGCCAAGGATGACTTGCCTGCTGCCTCTCCTAATTCGAATCCAATCCAATCCAAGAGGAGTCCTACGTTGTTGGGTTTCCCAGCAACAGGCACCAAGCAGGTCTCCTTTGGCTAACTTGACAGCCTCTTCTTCTCATGCTATACCCTTCTTTCTTCTTATTCTGCTTCAGCATTGTGCATTGTACGTAACAGATCGCAAGGTCGACGTTGATGGGATATCGAATTTGATGTACTAGCTATGCGCAGGAAGCTGGAGGCCTTACATGAAGAAAAGAGCATTGTTTGGTAGCCAAGGATGACTTGCCTGCCTCCAATTTCATGAAAGAATATATGGCATTATTTAGTTGTCTGTCTAAAATATATATTCATGTTTGGATTCCAGGCAGTCTCCTTGGCTAATCTCACAGGCTGTTTTCTTTCATGCTAGGCCCTCCTCTTCTTCTCTTCCCTCCAAGTCCAAATCACTTCATACTGCTACAAGCCCCTCATCAGTTAGCTTCGATCTTCTCCCTCATATCAACATTTGCGCGCGCACGCACACACACACACATTACATGCATATTGTTGAGAGTATAAATCTCACATTAAAGAAATTAGAGAAGATGAGCGCTCCTTTTACTTAAAATAACTAGTATCTATACCATACGTACGATAGAGCATAGTTGTCAATCTTGTTAGTTATTTCATTCTATGTCAAAGAAGATAATTACTATTTTCAAATCACAACAAAAATAATATGATGAAGAAAAATGGTAAATCCTCAAATTCCGATCATATATCTAGTTAGGAAATGGGAAGTGTTATTGGCACTCCAAAAATTTCATTCTACACTTCTCACAAGTGTATTTTTCCTTCTAAATATAAAAAGTTTGGAGTGTAGAATAAGAATTTTGGAATGCAAATAACAATTCCCTAGGAAATTTCTAGCAAAGTTTAACAAGACAACTAATTTTTAATATACATGCGGCATATAAGAAGAACAACTTACATAGAATAAGTTTACTATCACGTGATGTTTTGATCTAACAATACATTGTTATATGAAGAAAAAAAAATTACATTTGACAATGCATTATTAGACAATAAACGTCACATAATGTGAAACGATCAATGTAAGTCTTTTTCACATACAAAGGGAGTATCGAGAAATAAACGTGGGCACTCATGTGGATAGGTGAAGAAACAATGCAAACTTATTGGATGTCGATGATGGCGGGTCCAGATTCTCTCCGGACCTCTTCAATTTGGATCCTCCAGACTCTTTAATTCTTTGCATTCTCCGATAGGTGTTGGCTCCAATTGCCGACCCATACCTTTGTCTTCGGGCCTTTGGTTTCTCACAACTGGAACCAAGTCCTTCTAGATACAGAGAGAAGAGAGTCCGGGAGAGAGAGAGTGAGAAGAGGAAAAAGATGAACACGAAAAAGCAAAAGAAATAAAAAAATTTATGATCGTTCGATATTTGGTTGAATATTTGGTTGAAGGACAAGATTGAAGGATTCGGAGGATCCGGATGGAAGTATACTTTAATTGAAATAATAATATAAAAATGAAACAGTAAATTTGTTGATGACTTTTGCTCATGCATTTACTGATTGTTTTGTAATTTTCACAATTCTGGTCGTTTGATGTTTTTGGTTGAATGGACAAGAATGAAGGGTCCGGAAGATCTGGATGGAAGAGATCCGAAGAGAGTGCCAACCAATACAAGGCTTTTGTTGAAATAGTCTTTTGCTCATGCGTTTACTTATGTCTTGTAATTTTCACCATGCACCAGAGCTATATCCTTCTTTTTTCCGGTCAAGAAAAAAGCTACGTCTTTACAGAATGCAAACCTTACCCAAGCATATTAGAGTGAAGTGTTACATCACATGTCATTATAAAAATAGTGATATATGTGTGTTAAAATTAATAACTTAAAAAATACAATTTCTTATCATTTATATAAAAACACGTAATGTACAATTCTTGTTCAACTTTCTCCAAAACGTACGACTTTATTCGAGATAGTGAGAAATACGATAGGTCAAAAATTAAAACAAAATCAAGAAAGCTAACAAAATATACAGTATAACAGTCCAATTAGATCTAATTACGAAACAGACCCTAGGGGTTTTCCCTTTGACCGGAAGTGTGTGAATCAATTTAACATTTTCCCGAGTTGAGGATCCCAAGCATTTGCGAACGGGTCCAAAGCAAACAACACCTCACCTCACCTCAGCGACTCAATCACGACTCACCACCACCTCCATCCCAAATCCAAATGGCGATTCCGATCACCAACGCCCTCCTCTCGACGGCGGTAGCTCTCTTTCTGTTCACGTCGGCGCTCGCGAGCTCCGACGTGCCCTTCATCGTCACCCACAAGAAGGCCTCCCTCAACCGGCTCAAGTCCGGCGCCGAGCGCGTCCTTGTCTCCATCGACATCTACAACCAAGGATCTTCGTAGGTTCTTCTTAATCCCTCCATTTCCGTTCTCAATTTTCGTTGTATTTGCTTCTTTATTTACTGATCCAGCTTAAAGTTCAGTAATTTTACATGCTTTCTGTTAGATCCGCTCGATCTCTTGCGTGTATGCTGTTTTTGCTAATGTTAATCTATTCTTATCTCCATGTGGAGTTTATCTAGCTTACCTGTCGGTTGAAATGGATTGTCTGTATTAGAGTATTGCGGTTTAATTGTACATTGTTTGTTGTTTATTGGATTGTTTTTGTTGAATCCCGTTTCTGTTTGGTTTCTGTGAAATTTCGAGCAAATTAGACGAATGGGGCTTTCAATCTTGGAATTTTACTTGTTCCCGTATTGGGTAGAAAGTCAAAATCAGAATTGTTTCGGCAACTGATCCCGAACTGATGGTCTATATGCCGCTGTAGACATTAATGTTATTTATTCTGTATGGTTGATCTGATAACATAAGCATTCAAAATAATATTAAGCTGCAAGTATTGTTGGAATCTCAGCGTCACAGTATTAGCTGTGTTTGTATTGTTGTACTTGTTGCATAGGAAATGACTCTGTTACCGGAACTAATTGAAGCATGCTGAAAATGTTTGGGGAAGGTGAGGCGAGAAATTGTTGAAGGAATTGGTCTTTTTGTGGAGGGATAGAATGAAAGTTACATGCATGTTTGAGTCGGAGTATATACAAATACAAGTGTTACGAATTGTGAAAGCATATCAGTTTTTAATGTTACCTTGTAGTTTCCTTTCAGCATAAAATAGCTTGGTAATATAAAATGCCTTAAGCTAAATCTTGTATAAGGCTACATTAGCTTTAGTGGTTTAATTCTGCACATTTCTGCAGGCTTTTGTATTTGTATGGGAATCCACTCTTTCATTTTTTCGACTATCCACCTGTCTATGACTCTATTGATTGTGTATTAAGTTAACTGAGATTTATTTTTGTATTTTTTTTTATTTTTATATATTAGTAACGAAAGTTTGTAATGTTTCCCTTGCAGCACGGCTTATGATGTAAGCTTGAGTGATGAGACCTGGCCTCGGGATATCTTCGATGTTGTTAGTGGTAACACTTCCAAGTCATGGGAAAGGCTTGATGCGTAAGTTCCAACTTTTTCTAGTAACATTTTCTGCTTTCCATGGCTTTCTCACCGATTGGTTCTTAGTTATTGATTGCATAAATGGGATTTGCAGAGGTGGCATTATATCTCACTCTTTTGAATTGGAGGGCAAAGAAAAATTACTTTTTAACGGTGCACCAGCTCTTATTACATTCCGCATTCCCACAAAGGCTGCTTTACAGGTTGGATGTCTGCAGCCGGTTCCTTTGCTACTCATTTTTGCTGTATAATTGTATACCTTCTGACTTTTTTCTGTTTCTTATAGGAGTCTTATTCAACTCCAATATTTCCTTTAGATGTTCTTGCAGACAGGCCTCCTGAGAAGAAGTTTGAGTGGGTAAGTTTCTTCATTAGATAAGGGTTATATAATGCAATCTGATTTTGGACAAATTTTACGGTGTTAACTGAGGTGGTGTTTTATGTTTTCATGAAATTCTCTCTGTTGGCGGCCAAAATTTTCAGGTTAAGGTATGAAACACTCTTTTTTATGCCGTTGAATCTTTGTACTCAGAAACTTGCTAAATCATTTGTTAACTTATATTTGCTGAATGGAAGAAGGAGTTTTAACATTCCTCTGTTTCGCCCCTTACAGTTTGACCTTTTCTTGTATGCAGAGGCTTCTGGCAAAGTATGGGTCTCTGATCTCTGTGGTGTCCATTGTGGTTCTATTTGTGTACCTGGTTGCCACTCCATCCAAATCCGGTGCGGCAAAAGGGAGCAAGAAGAAGCGTTAATCAGTGCTTGATGCTAATGCATGCATCTATGGTGTTGCGAGTTGGTATTTTCCTGAGTTAATGGCACATGTTAGTTTCCAAAGCTTCCTAAAAGGGAGTAGTTTAACAAGATAGTGTAAGATCAACAAACTAATACATACAGCGGGTGTAACCCGAAGGAGGTCTTTGGTAGCGCTTCGGAATCAGTAATTGCTAGTCAATTTTGGATTGAATGTTATATTTTGCATTTGAGATTTGAAAATTTGATCCTATTTAAGCTTTAAAAGGAATCAAGATGCAATATTTATTTTCATTTGTCAAGGCATTTATATTGTTAAAAGACTTTTGGTTTCTCTTAATTAATGATAAGTCATGCTACGAGACTAGATTTCAAGTTAAAATATTTGTCTAATACATATTAGATGCGATAAAGGAACTTTTATTGTTTTGAGTACATCAATATTTTTACATTAAGAGGAGGGAGAGTTCGGTTAAATCACATAATGGGCTGCCTAATTTGGTATCGAATTCACCATTCACGAAATGTGGTAGAGGAACTTAGAGAGCAGACATGCATCATGTGTAGTCTTGTGGGGGATAATAGATTGTGTGACTTTGCACATATGATAAGGTTTTATTAAATAACTGGGAAAATTGGAAACGGAAAGAAACAATCAAAATTGGAAACGGAAAGAAACAATCTCGGTCGATCCGAGTTATAACGAAAAAATGCAACTCGCACGCGCTGGATGAGAGAAATAAATATTGTAGAAGAAAAGCAAGACGATACAATTTCACGAGCAAAGCAGAGCAGCAGTAAAATATTAACAAGACTAGTAGCTCTCCTAATAGTCAGCCTTGTCAGGCTTCTGGTATGCAATGTCATTGTCTGCAGCAACGATTGGTTTGACGGCAACTCCAGATGCCACAAATGTTGACATACTTTGGGTCAAATGCCTCGACGCCTTTTCGTAATTAATAAAACCCATAAACCAGAAATCATGGCCGTCGATCGTCACAATCTGGATGTACTTCTCCGTTGGATTTTCCCTCATCACCACTGGATTGATGGTTGCAATATTTCCCAATGGTACCATTATTTTGTAGTAGCTCCAGGTGACCTGGCCGGAGGGGGCGGTGAAGGATAAAGGGCGGTCGCTGCAGAAAGCTGTATGGATATTAGAGAGGTAAAGAGTTCCGGCAACTGGTCCTGTGGATGTGGACAGGTAACAGGCAAATGACTTGTACAGCTTCTCGTTGGGATAAGTCGCAAATGTCTGCTTGTACAGAGCCTCAAATCCTCCTCCTGTTATTGCTTTCGCCGTCACGTTCATCTTCGCCCACGCTGCTCCAGACACCGATGTCCCCGTTTTCACTGACAAGAGATCATCAATCAATCAAATTAGTTTACATGTTAGTTAATGTGTATCAATTTAATCGGTCTTGGGCGTCCATAAGATAAAAAAGACGTCTGCACTGAAAATTTATGTGCTTCTGGAATGGCTAAAAGTGTTTCTACAATCAAAAGTTTCTGACTGTGTTTGTTAGAAACACTTGAAGTGCCTAGATAAGCACCTGTCAAGTAATTTTTCATAAGGCACTTCTAGCTAAAAGACAGTTAAGGGCAGAAGCGCTTTCTCAAGGAGCAGGTACAAACAGCCGTTTGACATATACTTACTAGGTTTATTAAAAGTAAAGTGTATATATAGACATATAAGAGATGAGACATATATATACATATATATATATATATATATATATATAGATACATACGGTTGTGCCAGATGTTGTTGGCCATGGACTCGGCCTTGTTGCTCCAGGAGTTGAAGACGTGGAGCATGGATTCCAATGGACTGGTGTTGTTGGACTTGTCAAGGGGTTTGTACTGGAGGTAGGGATTCTGGGCTTGCTCGGTTCCGGCAGCACCCCACAGAGCTGCTTTTTTGTTGTCCGGATGGCATGTTGGGACGGCAGGGTGCCCCATGACGTGAGTCCCCCACTGCGCTGATTTTTCTTCCTCACTTGGAGTTGGTGGGATTGACGGAGGAGATGCGCCGCTTGACGACGACGGAACATCTTGATCAGGAGTAGTGTGTTTTAGCTCTTCGGTTTTCCCATTCTGAGGGGAGGATACGCTAGGAGGTGTTTCGAAATGGGTTTGCGGCGACGAGGACGGTGGCATCGGCGCAGGTGTTTGATGAAAAGGGTTAATATCTTCAGGCGGAGGAGTTGGGAGGAAAGGGTTTATGTCTTGGTGAGAGGGAGGAGAAATGGAGGGGTATAGAGGAGGTTGGGATGCTTGGTTGTTGGGGTGGTTCATTTTTGTTGGGACCTTGGAAGGTAATGGAAAACAAACGAAGCTAACGTGATGTGTGTTTTCTGGTGTGAGAGTTTGTTGGATTAAATGGGATTGGATGTGGTTTGCAGAAAATGGCAATGGTTTTGAGTGTTTGGGAGACCTTATTTATACACAAAGGAGAAGTTGAGAGGATAGGAACGTCATTAAAAAAGAAAGAAAAAGTGGTTGAAACTTAAAACGGAAGCAACGGAGCTACATCAGATCTGCCTTTGAAGACCTTCCAGATATACAAGGCAGATGTGTATATATGATTAATTATCAAGTTTTAGAGGGAGTTTCGTGACTGCGGGGCATGTGAAAGCGACAAGGTTGGCTTGTGTGAATCCAAATACACGGTTTAGTAATGAGCATTACTCGGATGAGGATAGATTTTTCAGTGTGATAGGCACACGGGGTGGTATACCACATGTCACTATACAAATAGTGGGATATAAGTGTTAAAAAGTTAATAACTTATAAAAATAAAATTTCCTACTACTTACATAAAAACACGTGATGTACCACTCATGTTGACGGGGACTCATGAGGAGGAGGAGGTCGCTTAACCGTGTTATATTCCATTTAACCTAATAAATTATAAGCTAACGAGTATTGCCTGCCGGCCTTTCCTTAAGCTTCCAGATAAGACTAGAATTTGCACCCGCGCGTTGCTGCGGGATTGAAAATTATATGAAAAATTATGCACCTGCAATCTTTATAAACAATGTTCGAGTCAAAAACTGAGTTACAAATGCAAATGCAATTTATACACAACCTCATCATGAATGAAACAAATTTAAACATCTAAAGAGAATTCTATTCCTTCAAAGCAGAAAGGGGAAAATAATTGTTTCCTTAACTATTGAGGGAATACCTGCCAAATAAAGCTTACTACATTCTTAGACTTTTCATGTGCTACATGCAACGAACGTAAAGCTTGGATACCAGACTTGCTCCCAGTTTGAGTTGTATCCAAAGAAGGGATAACTGACATTATTTTGCAATAAATTGCAGAAAGTGCCTTGTACAGCTCTCCATGCTGCAGAAGAAAACAAAGACAGTAGTCAACTAATGATGTACGATGATAAAACCATAAGGCAAATCAAAAGGTGACAGTGATAATAAAAAAAAAAAAATGCATGACAACTTCAAAATTGAGTTTTGGAGAGAGAGAGAGAAAGAGCAGAGAGAGGTTGTAAGCAAAGACCAAATATATAAGACTTTTCATTTACATGCATCCCAAATTAGGGTTCCAAAATCACAATAATTCTGGAAATTCAGGTTCCAACATTCCAGAAATAATTAAACAAAAAGAAAAAATTAAGAGAAGAGAGGGAGGAATAATGCATACCAAGGAAGAGAAAAAGCTGGAATGGATCGAGATGTTTGAGGACTGAAGTGAATTGGTATCTGGGTCTGTTTTGTTTTTTCTTGAAGTTATAGTAATTTGTATGCACCATCCATTTGTATTTATAGTAATTACCTGCACAAATCTCAATCACCTTACAATCTATCACTACACACATATAGTTCATACAAAATTGCAGGAATAAATTAAACTAACAAATTAAAAGAAAGGGACAAATAATGCATACCAAGGAAAAGAAAAAGCTGGAACCGACCCTGCCATGGTATATAGGCATCTCAATTTTCAATACCAATTACCCTTCTCAAATCTAAACATCTCTCTCTAGTCCTCCCTCCCATACCAAAGTCCTCTCACCACCGCATCACATAGTAACACAAAATCGAGTTATTCATGATTACTCAAATCCCAAGTTGGGTGAGTGACTATAAATTCTCAAGGCATCTAGTGACCAAGAGAATGACGCTCGGTCTTACCTTCAAAAATAGCCATGTTAGGTTATTGTAAAAATTATGATCCACTTTTATCATATTTATTAAACTCTAAATAAAAGATTATGAACCATTGTGTTATTTACATGTACCAACATGCAGGAAAAACATAGGGTTTCATATTCCAAGAGAAAAATAAGTTAAGGAAAAACCTCAACACCTAACCTTATTATAATGGTGGCTGCTGAGTACAGCATCTGATCGTCTCAAGGACCTCTTTGAAACCGCCGTGGAAACATGTGATTGGGAATCTAGATGACAGCCTAGAACAACATTGTATTTCAAAGCCTGATATTCATAAAAACCTGTGTCAGCTTTAAAAAATCTAACTATTTTCTGAATCACAGCTACAATTCTTTAAAATCATTTTCCTGGAAACAAAGATCATTCAAATGTCACTATTATTAAACCTATTAGCAGGAACAAAGATTCTTAAACTTCCTATCTCCATATATGAATTTAAGGAGGAGAGAAAAACAGAGTTATGCAAGTATAGAGGTGCAGTTCAGTTGATTTTAAGTTGTCAATGGGAGAAAATACCTGGAGTTGAAGATAAACTTGGTGAAAGTAAAAATCTTCAAGCTGCAAACAAATTGATCCTGGTTTTTGTCACAGAATGTCCTTTCATCAGAGAAAATTATAGCAAAACTTTTAAAACTAAACAAAATTGTGTGAAATGATTAGGAAAGCAGAATTTTTCCGGACTATGCAGAGAAATAAAATTTAAATTAAAAAAAAAAATGTGAGTTCAAATAGAACTATATAGAGGTACACTGAGCAGAAAATCTTATTTAATGATAGTCTTTTAATTTATCATAGGTTTTTTTGTTACCAAAATTTAACAATTCAAATTAAATTCACCAAAAAAGCATACATGTTTTTTCGTTAACTTGTACATACATTTGTGAATAATTAAAGAAAAACTGCAGTTTAAAAATCTCACTTCTTCAACAGAATTTTGTAGGTGGATATAAGTATTTTGATTTTGTAGAAGCAAGTTGGATAACGTGTAAACATACATAGATTACAATGCTGAGAAAATAAGTCTTTATCTTTTATAGTAATAAACTATAATTTTAAGAAATTTAATTACCATTTCATTCGAGAGTAAAGTTTGAACGCCTTGAAATTTGTGGAAGCTCAAAACCTGCAATATGAATAGTGACAAAAAGGGCTCAATTGTTAAGAGGAACTCAACATTGGACCTCTAGCAATCACATAACTTTGCACAAAACACTCAGGTAACTTTACCAGGATTACACAAAAGAGACAAAAACAGAAGAATAATTCCATACCTCTGAATCTCATATGGGAGACCAGTAGATTCAAATGAATTGAATGGTGGAGGCACATTAGCACCCTAGCAAAAGATGTAAATCAGATCACTCTGAGCAGATAAAAAATTGATATTAGACATCCAGAGAACAGATCATCATTCAGGACAAAGTTGAGTTTGAAGTTCTTTGAACACCATTCAGAACAAATTCCCATGTTACCTTCATTTAGGACAATAAATTTACAAAATTAAAGTTGGGTTTTTCATATTCTCTATTGGGTATCGAAAGTCGTGGGGAAAGATTGGAAACAACCAAACCAACATCCAATTTAGTACACACCTAAGAAAAACAGAAGCAAGAAACAAAACAATGAAAGATCATAAAAGGTTCAACAATACTAAACAAAATTACAGTTGGATTTAAAGATGCATACTCAAGCAGCTCCTTAGTGCTTTCAAATATGGCCAGGTCTTCTTCCTTGAGATTCAAGGATACTTCTATGCCATCTCCATCTCGTGTATCCATTAACACAATCAGATTCTTGAACTCCGTACCTGAAGTCACCCATGGTGGCTTTCCCCATCCAAAATCAGGTTCATAGAAAGGAAACCTGCATCAACTGCTGCAGCTATAAGTTTCTACATCACTCCTTACCATGAGATTCCAATAATCCTTGAAAAATTCCCATACATCGTCCCCACCAATACCAATACCATATTTTATTTTAAATTCCCTTAAATATTCTAACACATTGATATGTACAAATTTTCACAGAATTAATGTAAAAATTACCTTTTTTTGGAGACCACAACCTCAAAAACCGCTACTTAAGCCAGAAATTTAATCACAAAAAATTCTGCAAAACCTAAAAAAATTTATTAAACTGACATAAAACCAAACCCAGAAATATAAGGGTACAATTCTACAAACCCACCAATTTAATGAAGAATTCTCCAAAACCCAGAACCCTCTGCCAAATGAAATGGTCAAAGCATGGAAAGTAGACTCGAGAAATCCAATCGTTAAAAGCTATCAGAGGAAAGGTTGAAATATAGCTATAAAAACAGGTCCAACCAAGTAAAGTAATCCACTTGGTTATTAAACGTAAAATTCTACAAAATCACTAAAAACTTGTTAAAATTCAATTATATTAAATCACAAATTTGAAGCTGATTTTGACATGCAATAGGTCTAAAAGGTACCTGAGGTGATAAGGTATGGTTTGACATCTTCTTCTTTCTTCACCTCTTTCTAAGTTGCTCTTTGCATAAACTACAGTAATTAAAAAAATAACCCAATTACGTTGTATTAATCTGTAAATACAATTAAAGGTCCACCAGAAAATTATATAACTCAAAATTAAACAACACCAAGATGAATTTAAGCAAAACCTAGATCAGATTCTAAAAGGGTTTATCAAAAATAATAATTTAATCAGAAATTAACACTCACAATAAATAAAAAACCAAAATTTTATCGTTTCTTTTCATCTTTTAAGTTCCTGAGAGTGCTGGAAAGCTCTCGCTTTGCCATATTAGCTTTCTGGGCTTCTACTCTGGAATCTAAGTGAGAACTGAAGGCCCTGCGAGAGCAGAAGAGAAAGCAACCTCTAGCAACAGAGAAAGCAGTGAAGGTTTTTTAGCAAGAAAGTGCGGTTGGTAACTTGTGAGACAAAGATCGCACGGTGGAAGAGGGAGAGAAGGTAGCCTTGGAGAGCGAAAGGAATCGAGGTTCAAGAGCGACAGAAGCAGGGAATTGTGAGAGAGAAAAGTCGAACGGAGGGAAAAGTAGAGAAGAAAGGTCGAGAAGTAGTCGATGTGGAGCGATGATCGACGCGTGGACAAACGGCATAATGGAGAAGAAACAGAGGGCATTTATGCCATTGAAAATGACAGAAGCTGAAGAGTGATCGACAGGTGGAGATGGAAGGCAAAGTCGTCTTTTTACTGTTAAAAAAAGGAAAAAATGGGCAGATAACAAATGAATTGGAGGGCAATTTCGTCCGCTTACTGTTAATGAACAGTAATTTCATCTTGTTGAGTATTAGTATATACACACACATGTATGTATATTTCTCTGCCACTTTGCATTTATTATCCCTTTTTCGAGGAATGGGCCTTCATTGCTACCACCAGACAATGGCAATGGCAATGGCATCCCCCTTTTCCTCTTGCCTCTTTCTCGAATGGAAAAAAAACAGTGAGAGAGAAATAAAATAATAACATGCATAAAAAAAGAAAATGCACTTTCAGAGAGAGAGCTGCAACAGTGGGTGAGGGAGTTCTTGAGAAAAATAATTATATATATATAATAAACAAAACAGTCATCAATTGTTTTACCCCATGGATAAACACATTGGTTTTTGGACAAAAAAATGATAAACAAATAGACTGCAGGACAAAACAAATTATAGTTGTCAGGAGTTAAATCCAGCCACATAGTTTGTGGCGCCAAAAAGGAAAAAAAATTATAAAAATATTGTTTGGGTTTTTAAAAGCAAAGAACCGCGGATGATGGAGAACGGCACCAGAAAGCGGAAAGAACAAAATGGCCAACTCACTGCACAATTCTAGAAAAGGACAAAAAATTGCTCAGCAGGCGAGGGACTAAACCGGGTGGGCACTGTTAATGAACAGTGCCAATCCGTGAGCTTTAGTATATATAGAAAGCAAAAGGGGCAAAGTTGAAATAAAAGAAGAATGGGCGAGGACAAAATGGGAAATCCACTGGTCATCCACAGTGACCAACCCTTACGGGTTTTAGTATATATGATATTCCAAGTGAGATAGCATGTCCAATCCATGTACTGCAATGCAACTCTCCACGGCCACATGTTCCACGTGGATACTCAAAATAGGCAAAACTAAAGGAAAGTTAAAAGAAAATTCATATTGTTTTGAATGCTGCTTCCCTCGCTGACTTGAGTTGAAATTAAGGGATAAAAGACATGCATGAGATTTTCGCTTTTTTCCACTACAACAATTGATTCCGGCGGTGTTTCTTCTTGGTCGTAAAAGCACAATTTCGAGTTCATAAAACACTTGCACCGAAAACGCTATCAGGCAAGGTATGAATATAGTAAGACAACTGAATATTGGGCTTTTTTACGTTGGGCTTTTGAGGTTTATAGCTTTATCTTTCCAAAGAAAGCCCAAGAAGAATGAGAAAGGGTTTTAAATGAAACTTTAGCGAAAAACTACAGGTACTGTTTACTTTAACGAAAAACCATATTTTTACACTAAAAAATTAATCAAAGTACTATTTATTTTACCTTTTATTTTGTCCTTATTATTAAAACTTAAAATTTTTAAATTTTTTTCATTAATTTTTCCTTTAAGTTTAACTCATCCATCTAGTTAGCCTCGCATCGTATGGTTGAAATGACAGGACCCAGCAACCAGCCCACTGAAACGGGTCGAATACGATTAGAAACAGTCTGGCAATATCGACAATCTGGGACCCGCGGTTACTATATAGGGCTACTCGATTTCTTAATTAATTCTCACCTACATATTTTGATCAGGCTAACAATCCGACCACCCGACCACCACAGACCGCGGGAACAGAGAGCCATCGGAGAAGATGAGTTACCAGAAAGCTCCTCAAGAACCCTACCCTCCACCAGGTATAACCAAAACAAACTCGCTTCCTTTACAGAATTTCAAATCTTTTCAATTCAATTGTTCAGTTACTTTTTACTAATCGATCATATTATTTTGGTATTGAAGGATATCAGTATCCGCCTCCTGGGTACCCATCAGCTCCACCACCACCGCCACCGTACGAAGGGTACCCTCCTCCGCCGCCTCCACCGTACGAAGGCTATCCACCACCACCACCACCACCTGGGTATCCTCACGGATATGGTCCGCCTCCGCCCCCGCGTGGTCCGCCGTACGAGGGGTACCAAGGGTATTTCAATCAGGGGTACCCTCCGCCACCTCCTCCTCCTCCGCAGCAATACCAGCACTATCACTGTGAGCATAACAATTACCAAGGCCAAGATGGTTGTATGCCTTTCTTACGAGGCTGGTATGTAATCTTCCCTCTCTGCCTTCTACTCTTTACCCGCAATCTCAGATTCTCTTCCTTTGATTCTTGCATACACAATTGGAACTTGATTAGTTAATCAACAAAAAAAATTGAAACTTGATCAAAAGTTTATCTTATTTATTGCATTAAATAAGCTTAATTTTTCTGTGCATGAATGAAGGTTTTTGCTTTTGAATTTTGATTGGAGAATGTCCAAATAGTTTAGTTAGTAGATTCTCTCTAGCCTCAAAGGATTGAATCCTCCAGCTTTCCTATAACCATATGTGTCACTCTGTCTTTTGGCTTGGGTTGGTAAGTTGGTATCTGTGGAAAGTAAATCCTTTTTTTCCCGGTTATATTGTTTTACATCACCTATATCAAACTAGTTGTTGTCCTACTCCAAATCTTATGCACGAGAGATTCTCTCTTGTCACCAATTCACCGTGTGGCAAGCGTTTATGGACTGGTGGTTCACCTTTTGAACAAGTGGTAAACGTTTATTTGATGGGTGATTTGATTATTATAGTGCATTGGTTGTAAGAAAGTTTTTCACCTTGTGCACAGCTGAGATTCTTCTGAGAAGACAGGAATACGACATATTGCTTTGCCATTTTGTCTTCATATAATAATGCTTGGGCATTCCTCCAGGTTATATGCTCTTCAAATGAATAATGGCGCAGTGTTCAGTTCTGTAGTTTTGCAAAGTTTTAATCTTGGACCGTCAAATCACGAACATGTACCTGACTCTCCTAGAAGAAGCCTATTGCTACGCTAGGGTTGAACAAAAATTTTTAACTTGTGTCCAGGCCTTAGTTACTCCCTAGATGCCCTCTCTTGTAACTTTTTAGGGTCATCCAAATTCTGAGGTGATTTGAACAATAGCTAAAATATTGACTATTGAGTGAGAAATTTCAAGCCAAATACATTTCAAGCTTGCCCCGTTAACGAACAGGATTTATTTGTTTAATCTCGAATATGTTTTGATCCAACTTTTAGTTTGCTAAATCATGCTTATACTATCAAGTGGAAGCTTCAATTTGTTATTACGCTCATTATTTCTTTCAAATGATAAGGGAGGGAACTAATTGGTTGTTTCTTTTGCTTGTGCAGTTTGGCTGCGCTATGCTGCTGTTGTTTGCTGGAGGAGTGCTGCTTCTTTTGATGATATTGAAAATGGATTGTTTCTCAAGCCACTTCCATAAATTTGAGCGTCGTAGTGTATTCTTTGTTAGACTCGAGAGGGCTTTTGGAATGATTTATGGTATATTCTTGTTTCGTGCAATGTTCTACCCTAAAACTTGTTAATTGCAGCAGTAAAGACTACAGATTTGAAGTGTGGATTTATGAATCTCTGCCTACTTATTTACTCTCTTTTCTATGTTTTTTAGAAGTTTATGAATCATCCACCTACCTGGATACTGGATAGGAACACGGTTGTCAACGTTTGAATTCGTCTATTTTCTAGCTCTTCCTCTCAGGTGGTAGACATGCTCATTCTATCTCATCTGGTTGCCAAAACAAGTACCCGACTCAATCGCCTCCAACGCCACGAGGATATGATAGCGGGACAACGATAGTTGTAAAAGATTAACAAGACAATTGGAATACTGGTTCGAATCTATTTATAACAGCATAGTTTACAATGGCCAATCTCTCTGAATTTAAACAACTTATGACTAATCATCGTCTAAAATCCACTTCTCAACCAGCCTAACCAAAAGTACAAACTAGTTAAACAAGAGAAAAAAAAATTACAACCTAGAAAATGCACCTACAGAGTCCACACAAACTCCGGTGTATCTCTTCTCTTCCCTACTAGTGTGCGATAGAGGTACATCTTGTCCACTCGTTGCTCATCATCAAGGTCCATCTGATCATTCTCATTTATGATCTCCACATTCAGCCTTGGCATCTTCTTTGCTAGTGCCCTGCAGCCTCCCAGAGTAACTTCGCAGGACGACATCCAAAGGGATCGCATTGCTTCATACTTTCCCACGTCCCTTAGAAGTGCCTTGTTTCCGAAGGGGCAGTCCCAGATCTCAAGCTTCCGGAGCTTCTTGCATCCATTCAACACATAAAGCATACCTTTGTCACTGTCCCCGGCAAATGCAATGGAAAGCATCTCAAGCTGCTCAGCATACATTCCAATGTACAGAAAAACCTGGTCGGTCAAACGGCCAGAGAGCGACAACCGCCTAATTTTCTTGCATGCCTGAACAATTGCCCCAAAACCTTCATCCAGAGGCTGCATAGTGTCAGCGTCAGGTTTAGTGGGGTCAAGGATGCACAACCTGAAACGTATAAAGTTTGGGCAGTTCTTGGCCACGGTTATGAGAGCAGCATTAGTCATTTGCTGGCAGAAGTAGAGCAACGAATGAAGCTTTGGGCAACCAGCAGATATGGCAACAAGGCCTTCTTCTGTTACAGAAGCATGCCCAACTGCAAATGGATCAGAAGGAAAAACTCTCAATTCCTGCAATTCTTTACAAGATGAGGCGACAACTCCTAGTCCTTTGTCTCCAATACAATCCAGAATCTGCATAAATACAGGAAAGATTAATAACCAACCCTTTTCTTTTTTGGTTAAGAAGCTGTGATACGAATCATTTTTCTGTAGCAAAGGCAAACAAAGCATACCCATAATCGCTGAAGTTTGACACATTGGCGAATTAGCTCTATCAACTCACTGCCATGCACCCCTGGAGCATAGCTGAGGTTCAAAGATGTCAGGTTTTCCAATATTGGGTAAATAGAGGGCAGACATCGAGGACCAACCTCCAAAAAACCCGACAAGCTCTTAATTGATTTACATTTTAGAATAGTTGCCTTGAGTTTGTTGTAGGTATCAGAATCAGAATCCAGAACATAAGACCCAGTTCCCAAATCCACTAGTTGAGGCACTCGCGCCAATACTTTCTGAAGAGTGTCAGGAGGCACTGCACGGTTTAACCTTAATACTTTGAGGTTTGGAGATCTCGCCACTAGTCTCTCCAGAGCCGCTAGATTAATTTCACCTTTGAGGCAAGCAAAATTCAGGGAAACTAATGAGGTACTGCTCTCGGGAAAGCAGCTTAGCCAATGGCCTCTATGATCATCAATATCATTTTCCTGCAGATCCAGCTCCTTAAGAAACCTACGCAGAAGACACGTTGGAGGAAGTTACAAACAGATAAATGACAGGCAAAACTCAAACTATTCATGAAACACAACTTAAGCTAATCAGCATATAGACTCTAGCAACATTTCACACTGCTCGATATAATTGTTTTTCCATTCACAACATAGAAACATGGTTAAAATTCGAAAACAAAACGGATGAAAGAAGAAGCAACAATGATATTCGTTGCAACCATTTACATCCAAGCAAATAATACAAGTTCTGGTGAAAAACAGAAACCCGAGATGTCCCATTAACCATTTACGGTATGAATTATGCAAAAGATGTACAGAGTAATAATTTTGAATCATGGGGAGCAGTTGCCTATATTCAAAAATGTAAAAGAGAACAAAATTGGATGGCCCAGATTGGCTAAAAAACCAAAAGACAAGGTCACAATATGAAACAAAAATTGAAGATAACAACGCTTGCATCAACTTTTTCGAATAAAATCCAAGGGCTTCTTAGCTGACATTCTTTTTCACCTCTTGATTAGTCATAAAATTACAAAACAGAAACTCCATTTGGGCATGTAAAACAAACAAGCAAGAACAACAAAACACAAAACAAAATCCAGATTAAGCAAAAAATAAGCGAAATTAACACTCTTATACGTTATCAACAAAAAGAAGTATATAATGTCACCTGCAATTGGCAGCAACAGCAGCAAGGCCGTCCGTGGTAAACCCTTCACAGCTAACAAGCACCAAAGACTTGAAATTGGGGAATGACCTGGAAAGCAGCTCGAGACTTTCGTCGGACACGACCATCCTCTTGAGGCGGAGCTCCTCCAGGCCAACCCGGCCATCTGCGAGAGCTTCAATCCACGGTTGCAGAAAGCCGCCCCACTCATGAGGGACCAAATTGAAGTCGGCGAAGTGGGGCTTTCCCTTCAAAGTCAGAGACTTGAGCCCCGGAAACCTCCCGATCACTCTCTCCGGACTGATCGCATAGCAATTCCCGATGAAAACTCTCTCCCTACTGAACCTCTCGATTCTGAACCACGATTTGCACACCAACGACACCGCGTTTCGGTCCTTCTGCGAGGTCACCGACTCGAATATGTGCTCTACTACCTCGTCCGGAAAGTAATTCATCCTTCTTTCCTTACCATTCGACCCCACACTTTCCCGGGAAAATGTCAAGGGAAAATCCAACAAAAAGAAATCAACTTTTCCCAGAAAACGAACTGAAAAACCCAACAAGTAACTACCCTCACCTCACATATCTCTCTCACTCTCCGTGTGCAAGGTCTGTGTCCTGGATTTCAATCTGTGACAAAGTTCGACACACAAATCCGAGTCCTTTGAAAGAGAATCTGAGAAAACTACACGAATGAGACCAGATCAGCAGATCTAAATACATTCAAAGATCTAGGTTTTTATTCATTGAAAATCTTGTTTGACATCACCCCTTTCACCTGAGCTTAGATCTGCAGTGAAAGAGGAAGAAAAGAAAAAAAAAAAAAAAACAAAGGGAGACGAAAATAAAGGAAAATATTTTTTGTTTTGATTCTAACGAGTGATCATCTGGAAATCAAAAAGTGATGATTACAGGCCTGAAACAAAAAACAGACATAAATATTTACTGTAGATCTCCCAGAATCTACAACGAGTTCCTGAAATAGAAATTATTAACAACATGGAAAATCTTACGATTCTAAAAACGAGAGAGAGAGAGAGAGAGAAAAAGAGAGCGAGCCTCAACACCAAAGGCTCAACCTTCAACCTCAACCCGTGTTAAAAGTGAAAGCCTTTAACTCACAGAGAACCAACCCCTCTCCCGCCAACCACAGCCATCCCCGATTTATTATTTGGCCAACCCTGGTTACTTCGCATCCGACGGTCCTACATGACTTAATGGAGAACACGAAGCAAATCTAAACCGTCCAATGAGCGATCAGGCATGTGTCCTTATCACTGCTTCGGAAGAGGCCCTCCCTCCCTCTCTCTCCCTCTCTCTCCTCTGCCAAAGTCATTACTAAAGAGATGAGTGATGGATTGTCAAGGAAAGGAGAAATCATATTCCTTTGAGACGTCAAATTACCAAAATGCTATAAAGTCTAAAAGATTGCTCGCTCACTTCATTTGTACTGTCGCGAGTATGCAACACTCGCTCTCTCCGGCCACGACATCCCATGTGAGGGGCAGCGTTTTATCCTTGTCTCACTCGTGCGGGAGCGAGTATTGCACTTACTAACTCTCCCGCGTAGGATACAATTTCCTCACCCATCAAAACTTTATCTTAGTGCGTCAGAAATTTTTGGACTCAGTTTTCCCCCCCCCTCTCCACTGGTTTCTCGAAAACCAAAAAAAAAAAAAAAAATCTAGTTTTATTTATAGGTTAGCTTTTTACTTTAGTATAGTGCTAGCAGCACACTTAATTTTTACTTTATATACATTTTTATTTATTTATAATCGTCAAATCAGATAAATGAAAAATAATTTAACATTAAATTAATAAGAAGGTATGAAAAATAGAAGTAGAACTATCCTTACTTTATCTTTGTCCTTTGTGTGCGAGGGTCTACGTGATTGTGAATTACGTATTATTAAGCTATAATATCTTTTTTTTTTAGTGCATAAAAGTTATAGTTATATGTGACCGTAAGAATTAAATAGTAAACTATTTTGATATTTTAAATTAATCACGTACTATCATATTTAGATTGGTTTAAAATATCGTTATAGTATTTGCACATAAGCCCTTCTATATGATCAATAATTTTAATACTTGCTGATTGTTTTAATGATTAAGAAATGAAATTCAGAAGTAAATGAAAGATAAAAGAAGGGGGAACATTTTCTTGACAAAATCTAAGGGATTGCTTGAAATGGTAGATATATGGATAAGTTTGTGGCGATACTCTCTGTGCCTCTAGCCCCCCATTTCGCAATTGCAATTGCAATTGCATATTTACATTGCGCAATGATGATCTGATTCAGTGAGTTATGGTGCACTGTACGAGTTTTAGTACTCCCACGTAACTGGTTGCATCACTTGCTTACTGGTGTCTGGGAACGTACGCGGTACACATAGTTGGCGTGGATAGATTCATCATGCATCATTCATTCATTCATGGAAGAAGATGAGCACCTTGTTAGTTGTTTCAATGCCATCAATTATGGACGGTCAGGAATCAATCAACGACTCGCCCACACACACATGCGTCAATCTTGTAGGAGTGTGAT